ATCATCAATATTAATCAAGAAGGACGTAGGGTTTTACCTCCATCAAGAGGGCCCGAACCTGGGTAAAACATCGTGTCCCTTGTCTCCTGTTACCATCCGCCTAGACGCACAGTTCGGGACCCCCTATCCGAGATCCGCCGGTTTTGACACCGACACCAAGGCTCCATGGGTGTTAGAATCATTACTATGTAATCTAGATTATTGACTCTAGTGCAAGTGGGAGACTGAAGGAAATATGCCCTATAGGCAATAATAAAGTTATTATTTATTTCCTTATATCATGATAAATGTTTATTATTCATGCTAGAATTGTATTAACTGGAAACATAATACATGTGTGAATACATAGACAAACATAGTGTCACTAGTATGCCTCTACTTGACTAGCTCGTTGATCAAAGATGGTTATGTTTCCTGACCATGAACATGAGTTTTTATTTGATTAACGGTATCACATCATTAGGAGAATGCTGTGATTGACTTGACCCATTCCGTTAGCTTAGCACTTGATCGTTTAGTATATTGCTATTGCTTTCTTCATGACTTATACATGTTCCTACAACTATGAGATTATGCAAATCCCGTTTACCGGAGGAACACTTTGTGTGCTACCAAACGTCACAACGCAACTGGGTGATTATAAAGGAGCTCTACAGGTGTCTCCAAAGGTACATGTTAAGTGGAGTATTTTGAGATTAGGTTTTCTCACTCCGATTGCCGGAGAGGTATCTCTGGGCCCTCTCGGTAATGCACATCACTATAAGCCTTGCAAGCAATGTAGCTAATGAGTTAGTTAGGGAATGATGCATTACATAACGAGTAAAGAGACTTGCCGGTAACGAGATTGAACTAGGTATTGAGATACCGACGATCGAATCTCGGGCAAGTAACATACCGATGACAAAGGGAACAACGTATGTTGTTATGCGGTTTGACCGATAAAGATCTTCGTAGAATATGTAGGAGCCAATATGAGCATCCAGGTTTCGCTATTGGTTATTGACCGGAGACGTGTCTCGGTCATGTCTACATAGTTCTCGAACCCGTAGGGTCCGCACGCTTAAAGTTAGATGACAGTTATATTATGAGTTCATGTGTTTTGATGTACCGAAGATAGTTCAGAGTCCCTGATGTGATCACAGACATGACGAGGAGTCTCGAAATGGTCGAGACATAAATATTGATATATTGGAATCCTATATTTGGATATCAGAAGTGTTCCGGATGAAATCGGGATTTTACCGGAGTACCGAGGGGTTACCGGAACCCCCCGGGGGCTTAATGGGCTATAATGGGCCTTAGTGGAGAAGAGGAGAGGCGGCTAGGGCAGGGCCGTGCGCCCCTCCCCCTCTAGTCCGAATAGGACAAGGAGAGGGGGGCAGCGCCCCCCCTTTCCTTCCTCTCTCCCTCCTCTTTCCCCCCTTCTCCTAATCCAACAAGGAAGGGAGGGAGTCCTACTCCCGGTGGGAGTAGGACTCCTCCTGGCGCGCCTCCTCCTGGCCGGCCGCACCTCCCCCCTTGCTCCTTTATATACGGGGGCAGGAGGGCACCTCTAGACACAACAACAATTGATCCTTGAGATCTATTAGCCGTGTGCGGTGCCCCCCTCCACTATATTCCACCTCGATAATATCGTAGCGGTGCTTAGGCGAAGCCCTGCATCGGTAGAACATCATCATCGTCACCACGCCGTCGTGCTGACGGAACTCTCCCTCGACACTCAGCTGGATCGGAGTTCGAGGGACGTCATCGAGCTGAACATGTGCTAGAACTCGGAGGTGCCGTGCTTTCGGTGCTTGATCGATCGGGCCGTGAAGACGTATGACTACATCAACCGCGTTGTTCTAACGCTTCCTCTTTTGGTCTACAAGGGTACGTGGACAACACTCTCCCCTCTTGTTGCTATGCATCACCATGATCTTGCGTGTGCGTAGGAAATCTTTTGAAAGTACTACATTCCCCAACATGGGTCCCACAGGGAAGAGAGAAGGAAGGCCTTTTTTTCTTTTGCATTTAATTGGGTCCCACATGTAAGTGTAACGTTGTTTTTTTCTTTGAATTTTAACTGGAGTTGTAAGGAGGGGCAAAATGGTCCAGAAAAATGTCTCTTTAACAGTCAAACGCCTTTGACTAGACGGAATTGAGACGGAAGGGCAAAAACACAAGAGAAGCAAAGTGATTTGGGCAGGAATGAGTATTTCGAATAGTAGGGGTAAACCTGTCGAGGGTGACCCAACTAGGGGCATAATATCAATTATCCCTTCCTTTTTGTAACATTTCGGTCTCACCGAAATGAGCAAATTGGTCCCACCGAGTCTGCTTTGCAAACTCCCTGTTTCCTTTTCGTAACATTTCGGTCCCACCGAAGTGAGCGAGTCGGTCCCACCGAGTTTGCCTGACCACCCCTCTGTGTACCTATTGGTTAAATCGGTCCTACCGAGTTTATGCGATCAGTCGCATTAAGATTACGTTATGCCCTAACCCTAGCATATCGGTCCCACCGAGATGACTATATCGGTCCCAGCAAAAACTCTAACGTTCATATTTTGACCTGAATCGGTCTGACCGAGTTTGCTGATTCGGTCCCACCGAGTTTGGGAATCTGTGTGTAACGGTTAGATTTTGTGTGGAGGCTATGTATACCCCTCCACCCACTCTTCATTTGTGAGGAGAGCCATTAGAACATACCTACACTTTCACTACTCATTTTTTGAGAGAGAACCACCTACTCATGTGTTGAGACCAAGATATTCCAATCCTACCATATGAATCTGGATATCTAGCCTTCCCCAAGTTGCTTTCCACTCAAATCATCTTTCCATCACAGCCAAATCTGTGAGAGAGAGTCGAGTGTTGGGGAGACTATCATTTGAAGCACAAGAGCAAGGAGTTCATCAACAACACACCATCTATTACCTTTTGGAGAGTGGTGTCTCCTAGATTGGTTAGGTGTTACTTGAGAGCCTCCGTCAAGATTGTGGAGTTGAACCAAGGAGTTTGTAAGGGCAAGGAGATCGCCTACTTCGTGAAGATCTACCCTAGTGAGGCAAGTCCATGATGGGATAGACAAGGTTGCTTCTTCGTGGACCCTTCATGGGTGGAGCACTCCGTGGACTCGCGCAGCCGTTACCCTCCGTGGGTTGAAGTCTCCATCAACGTGAATGTACGATAGCACCACCTATCGGAACCACGCCAAAAATCTCCGTGTCAACATTGCGTTTCCTCCCTCCAAACTCTCCCATTTACTTTCTTGCAAGTTGCATGCTTTACTTTCCGCTGCCCATATACTCTTTGCATGCTTGCTTGAATTGTATTGAGATTGCTTGATTTGTGCTAAGTCGCTAAAATCTGCAAAGAACTAAAACTGAGAAAAGGTTAAGTTTTTATTTGGTCAAGTAGTCTAATCACCCCCCCTCTAGACATACTTTCGATCCTACAGCATGCTTGCCAATGAGCGTGCCGAAGGTGAGCGATGACAATCCGTCGATGGAAGATGCCTCCGACGACGAGCCACAACCCGTGCCCGCGCCTATCCATGTCGACTTGACCATAGAGCAAGCCCATGCGCACTTCGACTCCGTCATGGCGCAGGAGCAGTCGGTGCTGCAGTTGGCACTCCCCACGCGGGGGCGCTGAAGGAGCAGCGGTACAACCTCTCCATCCTCACGCATCACTGGTTGGCCAAGGGCCAAAGATACGGCGAGTTCGCGAGCGCTGAGGCCGTGACGTCCATGGCCGCGAAGAATTTGAACTTCGTCAAGGAGCAGTGGGCCCTCTATGAGGCCGCGCGTAGTGCTCGCGCGGCATCGTCGGACGCGCAGGCGGCGGCCGCGGACGAAAACGCCACCAGCTGGGCGTCGTTGGCGCTGGTACTTCGACGAGGCCAGCCCGTCCACATCCATCGTCGGCCTTACCTCCACCTACGACGCACAAGTCTCGAACTCTTGACGAGTAGGAGTTGGGCATGGGAGACGGCGCACCCCGTGTCCCATGTGGGCTAATCCATGTCCTATGTCCTACACTTACCTGCCGGCGACTGCACCTTCACTTCGTGGGGTTCATGGCCGTCGGACATGAACACGGAAGAAAACGACAAGGGCTTGGAGGATGGGCGCTGACGAATATTTGGACTATGTTAGGGTCTGGCTGCTTTTGTTTAACAAAATGTGTCAAGAATGTAATGAATACGGCCTGGTTTAAATGAAAATCATCCGGTTTGCATGAAAACTATTCGGTTTGCTTAAATTCCACTTAAAATGTATACATATAGGGTTGGGTGGCCGGCTTCCGTATCACTGTCCGTAAACACGTCCGTGGATAAATACAGTGTTTGTTGTAGGCGTCCGCCTCACCGTGTATGTTTTTTCCAGACTTTTGTTTGAAGTGTTGAAAATGTATTTTCAATATAAAAATAAAGGTCTTCATGGAGCTCAGTAGTACTGTACTATTATACTTGCTCTGAGGTCCAGTTCTGCGGCGTGCAGCTTGTGTACACGCACGCATGCATTGATGAAGGAGCAGCCGAGCAGGGGGGAAACACTGCTCCCTGGTCGCATTGAACGCGAGCATCGCTCGCCTGCTCTCGCTCTCGACGACGAGTGTGACTCGTCATGGTGGTCGCTGGCTAGCGTCGGTTTCTCGCAGAAATCATGGCTTTCCATGTACTGTTCAGCACTGTGCACGCAAGCCATTATGCATTGCTAGTTGGTGTCATCGAGATCGACGAAACAAGATCACGTCGGTGACCGGTTTGGCATGTGCTAGCTCCAAATTAAAGTTCTTTTTATTAACTCAGCGACTCATGGGATCGTCAATCAAGAAAAGTGCATACGAACCCAAGCACGAGTGCATCAATTAACAGCTCGGTTGCTTCCCCGCCACAAAAGAAAGAAAAACTTGTTAGTTGCTTCTTGCTTGATTAGCCCGGAATCCAAAAGCCAAAATCACATGCATGCAGATTAGTTGCGGATTGTCGGTCTAATCTATGATTAGTCGAGTGACTAGTCTTCCCCACGACTGGCCTCGTCGTCGTCACGCGGGGCGCACGAAGAAGACGACGAGCAAGACGCAGAAGCTTCATTCCCGCCGTCGCATTGTCCCGTTGCTGATGTAGCACTAACAACCACACCGTCGCCACCAGTACTCGTACTCGTGCTGCTACTTGTAGTACTCGTGCTGCTCGTGCTGCTGCTCGAGCTGCTGGTGCTACTACTCGACGTCATCGTCCTTGTCGTCGTCGAGGTGTTTGCCGTGGCGCTGGCGCTGAGGCGGACGAGCAGGTCGACGAAGGCGCTGACGATGAGTGGGTGGTGGTTCTTGGCGTTCACCCGCAGGTACCATACCAGCAGCTCCTCCAGCGCGTCCCAGCCGCGCAGCTGGTGCGCGACCACCATCTCCTCCATGGACGACAGGAAGTCCCCGTACGGGTCCGCCGAGTCCACTGGCACCGCCACGCTCTCCTCCACCACCAGCGACTTGCCACCATCTCCTGGCTTCTCGTTCTTGGACAGCGCCGCCGACTTGTCATTCTCCTCCTCCGGTGGTGTACTGCCGGTTGTCGAGGCCGCCGCCGACTTGTCATTCTCCTCCTCCGGTGGTGTACTGCCGGTTGTCGAGGCCGCCGCCGCAGACAGGATGGAGTTGGTCGCTGGCCCCTGGTCGAAGAAGAAGCGGCCGGTGGACGAGGTCGTCCGGCTGAGGCTGCGGATCACAGCCTCTGACCACTCCTCGGACGCAGTGGGCGTCAAGAAGCCGTCGTCCTCCACTACAACCGTTTCCTCCTCCTCGGCGCTGAGGCAAGAGAATGACTCGCCGTCGTCGGGGTCGATGTAGACCGAGTTGACCGTCTTGTACATCTCGGCGGGGCCACCCACCAGCTTGCAGTGCCTCGCGGCGACAGGGCCGCACCTGCTGCCATCAGCAGCCGTGGCGCAGGGCTCCTCGCCGGCACGGAAGGAGTCGGTCTGCGGGTCCCGGCAGGATGGCCACGGCCAGGGTATCACGGCCGCCGTGGAGGAGTCGCTAGCGAGGCTGGAGGACCTGGAGAAGATGGAGGTGAGGGCACCTTTCTTGCCCATCGGATCAAAGCGAACAATGCAGAGTAGATGAAGGTGGATGAGCTCGATCGACTCGAGACCGCCGTGCCTGCTTAGAGCGAGATATAGAGTAGTCGAAGGAAGTATGTGCGGAGAGAAGAAGAAGAAGAAGCGAGAGGTGTGCAATTAAGAGAGGGGAAGAACACATGGACAGTACTATTCTGTGTGCAGACTGCAGAGTAAGTAGAGAGACTGAGCAGAGGACTGCAGCTTGCTCTGCAGTCACGTAACTCCGGGCCACTGGTATGTGGGCCACTTTGTTAGAGGATCGTCATGTCAGTGACTTAAGTTAGAGAATCTCAATACATGAGTGCGATGCAACGCAAGATGCCTTTCCAAATCCTTATATATCTTCAGCACTAAACATACTTATCGAGTAACTAATCTGAGAGGAGATTAACCACGTGACACATGTGGTAAGCAATTCAAACAATTTAGAAAAAACAAAGAGAAAATTAGATGTATCTGGCTTAGATATCTCACGTTTCAGCACTTTGGCACCACTTGTATACGGTGAAAACAAGTTCCTGTTTTATAGGAGAGTGGGGGACCACTGCCTTTTTAAGATTAAAGAAAAACAAAAAGGTGAATACGCCATAAACGTATCCAATGTAAAGGTAATGGCTATGTACAAAATCACAACGGTACCCACATCAAGATGAGAACCTAGTTCTGGCGGGGAAAGCCCCCTCTAAGTGCTACTTAGGCTCCAGTGAAAATGTGGCAGTTTCTATCCTTCCAAATGTGTAAAGCACATACAGCAAAACAAGACGAAACCCCATGTTGTCCTTTGGGGAGATGTATCCTTCTACGTGAACCACTCACCGGTTTTAATAAAAAAAAATCACCATAAACATGTCCGCAATTTTTTTTAATAAAAAATCGTGGGTTCCAAAATAATTCACACAAACTCAAGCAAATGTTCACAAATTTGAAAAAAATTGCGGATTTAAAAAATGTTCAAGAATTCAATAATTATTCACAGATTCAAAAAATGTTCGTGAATAAAAATTATAAATTTTAAAAATGTTGACAAATTTGAAATAAAATTAATGAGGACTCGAAAATATGTTCGTGGATCAAAAGCATTGGTGAATTCAAAAATATCACAAACTTTTAAAATGGTCATGAATTTGTAATAAGTTCACGCGAACGCGAAAAATGTTCCTGTATTCAAAAAATGATTGGGCATTTCAAATTGTTCATTAATTAGAAAAATGTTCCCCAATTTGAAAAAAAAATCATGCAAACTTGAAAAATGTTCAAGTATTCAAAAAATGATTGAGATTTCAAACTATTCATTAATTTGAAATATGTTCGCTAATTGGACAAACAAATCATGCAAACTCGAAAACATGTTCACGGATTCAAAAAATGCCCTCAGGTTAAAAAAATCAAGAATTCAAAAAAGTGCTGACAAATTTGAAAAATATTCAGAATACTGAAAATGTTTGCGAATTGTTTAGTGAAATAAAAAAACTCATAAATTGAAATTGAAATAAAAACACATAAACACAAAATTTTAAATAGGAAAAACCAAAGAAACCATACAGAAACACAGAATGGAAAGGAAAAGGTAAAAGAAAACCAGATAACCGGAAAATCCAAACCCTAAGATAGACTGCTTGAAACCCCCCGAAGCGAGTGCAACAGGGCTGGCCCACGCTCACACTACAGTAAACTATTTGCCCGTGCACCCGCAACAAGCGATACTTATCATTTGCGGCGAGAGACCCAAGCACTCTAGTGTAACAAATGTGTTGTAGTTAGTGCAACTGGTCCGGCCTAACGCTCGTACTACAGTAAACTATTTGCTCGTGCACTCGCTACAAGCGATACTTATCATTTGCGGCGAGAGACCCAAGCACTCCAACGTAACAAATGTGATGTAGAGAAATAGAAATGTGGCAACCTTGTGAAGAAAATATGCCCTAGAGGCAATAATAAAGTCATTATTTATTTTCTCATATCATGATAAATGTTTATTATTCATGCTAGAATTGTATTAACCGGAAACATGATACATGTGTGAATACATAGACAAACATATAGTCACTAGTATGCCTTTACTTGACTAGCTCATTAATCAAAGATGATTATGTTTCCTAACCATAGACATGTGTTGTCATTTAATTAATGGGATCACATCATTAGAAGAATGATGTGATTGACATGACCCATTCCGTTAGCCTAGCACTTGATCGTTTAGTATGTTGCTATTGCTTTCTTCATGACTTATACAAAGTTCCTGCAACTATGAGATTGTGCAACTCACGTTTACCGGAAGAACACTTTGTGTGCTACCAAACGTCACAACGTAACTGGGTGATTATAAAGGTGCTCTACAGGTGTTTCCGAAGGTACATGTTGGGTTGGCATAATTCGAGATTAGGTTTTGTCACTCCGATTGTCGGAGAGGTATCTCTGGGCCCTCTCGGTAATACTCATCACCTAAGCCTTGCAAGCATTGTAACTAATGAGTTAGTTATAAGATGATGTGTTACAGAACGAGTAAAGAGACTTGCCAGTAACGAGATTGAACTAGGTATTGGATACCGACAATCAAATCTCGGGCAAGTAACATACCGATGACAAAGGGAACAACGTATGTTGTTATGCGATTTGACCCATAAAGATCTTCGTAGAATATGTAGGAACCAGTATGGTCATCCAGGTTCCGCTATTGGTTATTGACCGAGAATGGTTCTAGGTCATGTCTACATAGTTCTCGAACCTGTAGGGTCCGCACGCTTAACGTTACGATGACCGTTTTATTATGAGTTTATAAGTTTTGATGTATCGAAGTTTATTCGGAGTCCCGGATGTGATCACGGACATGACGAGGAGTCTCGAAATGGTCGAGACATAAAGATTGATATATTGGAAGCCTATGTTTGGACATCGAAAAGGTTCCGGGTGAAATCGGGATTTTACCGGAACACCGGGGGGTTACCGGAACCCTCCCGGGGGTTAATGGGCCTTAGTGGGCCGTGAGGGAAAAGAGGAGGGCAGGCCGCGCGCCCCTTCCCCCCTAGTCCGAATAGGACAAGGAAGGGGGGGGGCGCCCCCCTTTCCTCTTTCCCCTCCCCCCTTTCCTTCTCCACCAAGGCAAGAGGGAGGAGTCCTACTCCCGGTGGGAGTAGGACTCCTCCAGGCGCACCCCAAGGGGGCCGGCCGCACCTCCCCCTCCCTCCTTTATATACGGGGGCAGGGGGGCACCCCATAACACACAAGTTGATCTACGGATCGTTCCTTGGCCGTGTGCGGTGCCCCCCTCCACCATATTCCACCTCGGTCATATCGTCGCGGAGTTTAGGCGAAGCCCTGCGCCGGTAGAACATCATCATCGTCACCACACCGTCGTGCTGACGAAACTCATCCCCGAAGCTTTGCTGGATCGGAGCCCGGGGATCGTCATCGAGCTGAACGTGTGCTGAACTCGGAGGTGCCGTACGTTCGGTGCTTGGATCGATCGGATCGTGAAGACGTACGACTACATCAACCGCGTTGTCATAACGCTTCCGCTTACGGTCTACGAGGGTACGTGGACGAACACTCTCCCCTCTCGTTGCTATGCCATCACCATGATCTTGCGTGTGCGTAGAATTTTTTTTGAAATTACTACGTTCTCCAACACCTTGTACTGTAGTGACCCGTCTCTGTGCCAAAAACAAATTGAGGCCACCTTTTGAAAGCGAAAATCTTTTGAATTTGCTAATTCTTTTTGGAAATGATGAAATTTTTTAATTGTAAACTTTTTTTTGCAACACTATTTTTTGAAAAATTCTAAACAAACTTAGAAAACAGGAATCATAATTTGAATTTGTATTAGTTATGAACAATTTTTCGTAACGCTATTTTTTGAAAAATTGAAAAAAATAGAAAATAGGATTTTTTATTATGAACAATTTATTAAAACATGAAGATTATTTGAAATTCTCTTACATTTATTGATAACAGGTTCAATTTTGAGTTGTCGAATAAATGTTTAAAAAGGCATATTAAAAAAATCAGAAATAAAATTGAAAACACAAACAGTTATTTTAAAATGCATTTTTATATTTTTTTTTGTTTGTTCGGAAATGTCAACGAATTTTGAATATTGCAAACATAATTTGAACTCTTTAAAAATTTTCTGAAACCAGAATATATTTGCGAAAAATCCGATTATTTTTGTAAATCCTTTTTTAAACTAAAAATATGCAAAAAAAAATGTAAAAACACACAATAGGAAAATAGAAAGAGAAAATAAGTGAACGGAACAAAGAAAAGAGAAGACATTGGTTCTAAGAACCTTCTAGAAGGTTCAAAACAGGTAATGCCGGGCAGGAAAAGTTCCCAAAACAGAACGAACAAGAACTTTTTTTTTCTCAAGCACCACAAGAACAGTTAACTGCGCTAGCCAAGTGTGCTCGCCCCTGTGTGTTTTGTCGAAGAAAACCGTTCTGGATGTTGATTTTTATGATCGAATTGCATTAGTTGGGTCGGCCGATTTTTCGATAAAACTTGTTTTCCATTATTTGGGCTCCAAAAACTTCGCAAGTGTTATTTCTCGTTTCACGCGAGTCGGTAGCTTCTCTCACATGTAGGAACAACTCTCTTGCATAGCAAAAGGGCCGGCTTTTTTTCTGTTTTTTTTTCGCTCCCTGGCTCGTGACACGCGCTCGCTGGATTTTTTTCTTTTCTTTTCACTTTTCGGTTTATGAGTTTCTTCACATTTTCTTTGTTTTGTTTTTCACATGTTTTCTTTGTTTCTTAATCATTTTTTTTCTTTTCTTTTCTTTTTTTACCTCTTTTCTTCATTTTCTTTGATTTAATTTTTGTTGGTTTTTAATGAATTTTTCTTCTTCTTATCTTCTCTTTTTTCCGGTTTTCTTTTGTGTATCTCTTTTGTTTTTCATCGTTTTTTTGTTTCATTCTCGGTTTCCATTGTTTTCCATTCTTTTCGCGATGGCTTTCTTTGTTTTTTCTGTTTTCTTTTT